ACCTACAGCACATGGCTATAAAGGCAGGGCAGCACCAAGCCCTCCTGAAAGTCCATCTGAAGGAGCAGGTGACGCACGCACAGGACTCTCGCAGCACGCACAGGACTCTCGCAGCAGGCTCTGCCCTCCCAGCAGCTCCCGCTGGTGCCCACGACCGATGGCTGGGGACACCTCTGCTCTGTGGGGGGGGGCCCCCAGCTGCTGCACACCCCCCCAGGGCCCCACTCACCCTGCGGGGCTCCTCCAGGAGCGGGTCTGGCTGCCGTGCACCTGCCTCCGCATCCCCTGTGCCCTCCTCCACCTGCACCCGCGGGAGACTCCTCCTCCGGGCACCCTCCCAGCCCTGCCCGCCCGCTGGCGAGGATCGCTGCACCCTGCGGGAGCTGGAGCAGCAGGTCGGGTTTTGCCTCCTGTGGAAAAGCTACTGAACTTACCTTTCCAGTCCGTCACACTCAGCACCCACGCCCGGAAAGCAAACACTGGTGGAAAACCACGGTGGAGCCCAACACCGCTGCCCCCAGAACGGTGCACGTCCGGCGGCCACGGGTGAGAGCTCTGCTTGGGCGGCAAAGGCAGGTTTTTGTGCAATTGGGAATTAATGCTTGCCTGGAGGACAGCTGGTGGCCCTGGCAGACTTGTAGCTGGTTTTGGGGGCAGGCCTTCCCCTTGGTTTACTGCAGAGCAGAGAGGAGCAAAGTCGAAGGACCAGTAAGTCAAAGGACCAATTTGCTGTCGTCTAGTTTACCACCCATGGGAAAGGTAAGAAGGTAAGTCTGTCCTGGCTCTGAGCATCAAACGGGAGAGAGCTCCATGTCCTTTCTCTACCTGCCACCCTGTGCAGTCCTGGTGGCACACAGAACCAGGAAATTAAGGTGGATAACTCGTGACTGGCTCTTAGGTAGTAACACTCAAGTTGTCAGGGCATAGCGGTAGTATGCTACCATATCACTACGGCGAAAGATGTGACTTACATTCAACTTGCTAATTAATTTATAGCTTCCACAAGTTGCTGGAGCTACAGACACTATGAGAGCACCAGGATTTGGGAAATATATTAAATTTTGTGTTGGGAAAGAATCCCTACTAGGAAACCAGGACTGACATTAACAAATTCCACATGCCTCTCTCAGCCCTCCTAGAAAAAAAAAAAAAAAGTGTAAAAGAAGGAAAATTTGGAGTTCTGACAGATGCAAATTTTTGATTCTTGGAAGCACAGTTCGGAAAATTATTTTTAGACAAAATTTCTTGTCAGGGGCAGCTGCAAGCCTGCAGTGTTTGGATGTACTTTTTAAAAGTTTCATTTCTCATAATCCTTTAAATACTGTAAATAACCCTTACCTCAGAGAAAAGAGTAATTTCAAAATGCATTTTCTGCTTTTAGGGGATTTTTTAGCAACAGAAATGACCCACCAACTGGATCTACGTAGGGCAGGCACAGGCTCTGTGCTGATACTGCTGGTAACAGCAGGTCTTTACACAGCACAGGTCTTCCCTGCCCAGGATCCAAGACCTGGCCTCTGTCTGCTTGGTCAAGTTCATAAGTGACAGAAGTGTTTAACAGCTCACTTAAAAATTTACTACTTGCTGTTATTTGTTACAAGAACAAACGTGCTTTCCACGCAAATGACAAAAGTTTGGCTATTAAGCATTGCATCAACTTGTATGACTTCATCTAACACTTTTTTCAATGGACTTGGGAGAAACACCCCCGTGTGACCCCCCCCAAACCCTTCTGTCCCCACATCTCCTACGACAGGTGCTTTGGGAGAGGGACAGCTTGCCCCCCCAAGCTACATACGTGCTGCCTCTCCAATGTGCCGGTGCCAGGTAATTCATAAGCAGCTGTTATTTTGACTTTTTCTCACCACCAATTTGGGTTCCTGTCTTCCACCTTGGCATCAGCTTTCATGAAATTTGCAGAGCATAATTATCTATCTCTCTTTAAAATTGGAGTGAAAGTGGAAAATGGATTCAGAGTATATCATGAAAGGGACTGACGTAAGGACAAACAGTCATATAGGACTCATTTCCTTAAAAACAAGCATGAAAATCTTTCCTATTATGCAACTGCTGTTGATTTGTTACTGTGGCTTGTATTTCAATTGAAGTGAATTTCAGAGAGCAAAAAAGAAAACAGGTAAAATTAGATTTGTCAATGTTTCTTTTATTCACTCTGCACTGGGTGTTCCCCCTTTGCGGTACAACGTAGCTACAGAGCTTGGCATCTATCGCTCTTCAGGACACAAACACAGAGCCATGCCATTTCCCAAATAT